GCCTGTCCTGCGCCTGTGATTCTGCTGCAACTTTCCTGAATCTCTAAATACTTCCCATTACTCCCTTTCCTCGATATTCTCGACTAGAATATTGATAAAATTACATGGATTAATGGCCTCTCGATACTTATCTCATCTCAATTCCATCCATTTTCGAAATCGGAAAATTTATACATTTAACGTTAATTCTCTCTAGCGCATGAGATCAATAATTTCAGTTGACGATTCATATATAATTCCGTGAATAAGGTCAGGAGAGTTACAATTACTCGTGGAATGATTTGCTGTTATCTGCATCATTTGGATACTAAGACCTGCAGGTCGCCGATACAGTGAATCGTTGTTCGAGGAAAAGAGATTTAATGAGTCTATATCTGTCGAGTAATCATCAGTCACTTGGTTTTTGTTTTGCAATTTACACCCTCCACTCAGTCTCATTTAGTTTGTCAAGATCATTGAACTTCTCTAATTGATGATGAGGACTTCGAAAAAACTACACTTACTAAAAAAATTGCCTAGCTACAAGAAAATCGAAGCATAACAACCGCAAATATTTATACAGACATTTACTCGTTCCGATGAATTCAGATATAGATTCAGTGGATTTAGTTAGACATAAATTGATTTTACAATAATAACTTTTGTCGCCGCAAGCTCTACATATCTGACAAATATTTTCAATCAGCGATTTTAAAATCTATAGATATCTATATCTATTTTCACCCACAGTACAGTTAATATTATTTATTCTACATATTCACTAGTTGAATTTACTTTATCATTAACTCTACTCTACTCTATACTAGAAGAATGGTGGAGACGTCTTGATAAAAAATCCAAATTCCGATCAAGTATTGTAAGAATCTCTACTATAGTTTTGCCAAATGTTGCTATTTTATCACTTCTATCACGCATATTCAATTCTATGGAAAGTCTTCATTCCATTTTATTTGATCAGTTGATAATGTAGCATCACTATTTCATATCATTCGTCATTTCCAACACCTGTGAAATGGAAAAAAATACTTGATAAAAATAGTAGAGCACTTTAATAAATTCCAAATCATTGATTTCAGAGAAAGAAAATAGATCAAATTTTTCCTGGCCAGTTAGTCTAGACTAAGTCTGGCTTAGTCAAGAGAATATTTTCTCATTGGTAGTTTTTATACTCCGTCGTTTATTCATTCCCCTTTTTACATGTTAAGAATACGAATGAAACATTTTTCGTTAAAAAAACAGTTTAAATGTTTCGTCGTTTTATCACTTCATGGTTAACTTAAAAAAGGTGATGAAAAGTTGACGAGAAGTTTGGAATGGTTGAATTTCGTTTTTGATCAAAATATTGGCCCTATAGATATGAATTATTTTTGAAAAACTTGATAATTTCAAGTTTATTATTCTGGAGTAACAATTTTAATCAAAAAGTTGCGCTAAAATAGGTTCATTAACCCCAGTCTTCCCAGCTGGTTTTTAACGTATCTATTCAAACCGCTCTGCTAGATTCAATAATCGACCAATGACTTTAAAAGATTTTTGGAAATATTTCGATACTTTCAATCAATAAACCAGACCTTATTTCAAAATTTCGTACTCAGCCATAATGATATTAGAGAATGAAAATGAGCTTTGCTTCATCGACCAATCTACATTTCATAAATTGGTCAATAGAGACGAATGAGTTAGCTTTTGCTATGCTATTTCTAGAAAATTCCTGTCATAATAACTGATTATTCCATAGTATTCGATAATAAAAATTCGGGGATATTTTGAGCCTACATATTATTGCGTATTTTTCGGTATACCCTATTCGTCTGCTCCAGAGAATTGATAGATACTGCGGTGAAAAAAAGGTTGAATTCATGCAATTCAGTCATCATCGATATGCCCAACTGAGGGTATGAAGAATAAAGTAACATACTCTAACATACATTGAGCGATTAGTTTGTTGAGCCAATCGTTGCGTCACGCCACAATTCTCCAACATGTGTAAGTGTGACTCGTCAGTGTTTTCATTCAGTTTCTTTTGCCTCATGAAGGTCAAGCGGTCAAGCCATGTTGGATGAACTCGACTGGTGACTCTCCTCTCTCGTCTTCATATTTTTTTCCTCTTCATCCCCAGTTACACTGTTATGTCCTCGTTTACACTTCTGGTCGTTATTCATCTCTCTCTGTTTATCTTCCACGAAAAGCCCTCCCCAGTTTGTCTTGATTGCTTTTTTCAAACGTCTTTTTGTTGGATACGATACGTTGGACAGTTGTGCCCTTCCTTTTAGCCATCGGTAACCAGTTGTCCCCTCTCGACAACTCACACGTTCACATGTTCACCGTCTCGCCAACGACTCGATTTCCCCCTTTTTACAGCAGTGTTCACGGTTCATTCATGTCCCGAGTCCACTCCTTTTTATTGTTTTATTTTTTTTTACTCAACACTGTTTTTTGCTTCTCAATGCGAGTTTTGGGCTCGTTCAAATTCGAGTTTACAATTTTTTCAGTTAGCGTAACTAAATGTGGTTTAAAAACTCGAAATATTGAATTTTCAGATGCTGCCGCATGCATGTCCAAAGCTTCATCTAAAAAATGTCCGCACAAAAATGGTAGCAAATTCTCATTCATCATCCATTATCTCTGTTCACGTTGCTAAGGCGTGTTCAGGAGACTCACGGGGGATTCAAGTCAATTGAGCCTGAAGTTTTCATAGAATTTGTTAGTTTTTGCATCTTATCAATTAAGAAGTTGTCTTTGTATTTGTTGGGCTGGGAGTTTCATACCTAGCGCCTTTTAATAGTTGAAAATGAAGCACGGAAATCATTGAGGCATTTTTCACCATTAATAAGTTTTAATAAGTTCAGTAGCAAGAAAATACGAAACAGAGAAATCTTGATTTAAATGGAAGAGGTCTAACCGAGAAACGATAAGCCCCTTAAAATACAAAAATAAGTGTCAAGTTGGAAAAGAAAAAAAAAATGAAGTGAATTTTCAGATGAATTAGTAAACTTGGAGATACACCCTTCTATTACATTTCGCTGGGCTTGGTTCACATTAAAAGGACTGGTCTTACGAAGGGTTGGTTTTCTGACAGAGGTAGATTTCTTGGTAACCAGCTTCGATTGGAAAATGTTCTCGAAAAGATACAAATATTGATTTCTTTTTTAATGTTCCCACGTTGTCCTCGTCTTTATTACATATATACGAGTGGAATTTTGATACATTATTATTCTACTCATTGGGAGTTTGATTTGCTAAGTTATAGCACAAATGACGTCGATTTTGAAAAAGCTACACAAACATTCATTAAGGTCGTTGTATCGCGATAGTCTCTGCAAAAAGTTTATCCGCTATAAAATGGGCCAGTTTAGAACACAATCCTTTCATGGTATATAGTCGCACTTGATTGATTGCATTGTGTATGAATAGCTAAAGCATAACTATATATTTTCCATATTAACTATTTTTAATGATATAAATTTATGGATTCTCTCCCACCATATGTATTCCATGTTTTTTTTTTATTTCAAAAACTGTCCAGCCGTTGATATTTTAAAAAATTCGAGTCGGTGAAACTCTATTTAACACGTGTTAAATCACTGGAATTAAAAAAAATTATATTTCAAGTTCAAAACGTTCAAAACGGTCAACCACAAATGGAAAGAGCTCATTTTGTAGTTAATTTTTTTAACTATTCACCATCAAATTTTTAACGAAAATTTTACGATACAACAACGTTAAAGCCGTTTTGCTAACTGCTACTCCTTATACCTACTGCGCAAACAAAGATCCGAAATTCTCCCATGCCCCTATTAATATATAACAAATTGACCTTACAGATAAGGTAACTTATCGTATCTTAACGTCTGATAGGTTGATAAAACTCGTAGCTTAGAAAATAAGATGAGAAAGGTGAAAGAAGAACTCTCGTTTTTTTTTAGCTCATTTCATTCTGAAGACTTGCCGAAGCAAATTAATAATTGTAAAAATAATAATTACCAAGTAAATGACTATGAAAATTAATTGTTAATTCAGTTTCAATGGATAGTTCGCTTGATTTTCTAGTAAAGAAATTAAGGCCCGGATGGACTGTCTGGAAAAGATAATTTACTCCAAAATTGGGACTTCTAATTACTCCGTCAATTAATCGCCTTTTCCGATAATTGTTAGCTAGCGGCCTAGTTGTTGACAACCGCTAGAACGCTAGCTAACAATTATTGAAAAAAACGATTAATTGCCAAAGTAATTAGGAATCCGAATTTCGGAGTAAATTATCTTTTATAGATAATCCACCCGAGCCTTAAATGAAATTCAATTGAAAACGTTTTTTCGTATAATATTTTCAAATTTATGTGGAAAGTCTAATTTCCCTTTGGAATTTACTTTCCTTTGATATTTGAAGTGACGAACACTTTGTGAAGACTCTGATGGTAAAAAAATATAGCCAGCCATACGTTTCAGTTATATTCACTTATTGCGGGGAACAGTATGATATATCAGATATATGTTAAGTATACATTTGGACATATATCTGATTGAGAAATATCTAATATTTGCTTTAATATATAAGATATAATGCAGATATAATGGAGAAAAATATATATCTAACCAGGAATGTATATCTAATTTTAGGAAAAATCCGGAAAATTTTGCCATTTCTAGTCGATAATATTGCGCAAAAAAAGTCCCTGAACGCCATGTCGCCAAGTCGAATTTTTATATAATTATGGACTTTTTTTTTTAATTTTACGGAAATACGAGACAAAACGAGAAAATCCAAATATACTCCAATAAAATTTCCATTGTCAGCCAAGGAATTCTGTTCTAGCTGAAACTTGGCGTCTCTTCTACTATAACTGTACAATAATGATGATGATGATGATGATGATAATAATAATAATAATAATAATAATAATAATAATAATAATAATAATAATAATATGATGATGATGATGATGATGATGATGATGATGATGATAAGTATGTAATATTGTTTTGGTCTCTTAAATTTTCAGAGAGATGCGCGTGGATCAAGTGGTATTTTGGGATGTGGAAGTCTCAGTAGTGGTGGAGTAATGATGATGATGGCAAAATACATGAAGCAGGAATTGACTTCGGATGCGGAAGAGGAGGGCCTTGTGCCCACTCTCCCTAGTAGATTCACATCCATGAGGAAAGTCCCATCTCTGTCAGACCTATCTGACCCAGACAGCTCCTTAGGTAAGTCCCAAATGAATAAACTATATGCAGCCAATTTATGTTTTTGCATTCTGCCTCGTCTGAAGATATTTGATGGCTCGAAATCTGAGTCGTCTCCTCTTGTCTCCACAAAATCGTCAAGAATAGTGCAACGTTAACGTCGATCATATGTTAGCATAATACGAGCATGAGCTAAGTAAGCGTTTATGAGGATTTTGTGAGTAAATGGGAAAGAGCGCATGGAACTTTATTCTTGTCAGTTGATATGGAAGCGATATTAATGCGCTTCGTTTAGGCGCAGTTTACACTACATTTTATTTGTGAATGGGTAAGAGGTAGACGATGGCAGATAGTTATACATATACCTTTATGGGTTTACAAAATTAACCTCAGTTGAATCGTTCAAATTTATGTCAGCATTTATTTGAAATTTGCTTGTGGTTTCTGTTCTAAATTTTTTTGCCGTCACCCAATTTTTTATTTATCGAAATGATTGTCAAAATGCTCCACACAAAGATTTCATTGTTCTTACTCATGATATGTTGTACAAATGAAATATTACCCTTATTTTTTCTGGATTATTATTTCTTAGCAATTGGGGGAACCTAAAGAATCGATATTATTACACTGAGAAAGAAATACATTTACCAAGTAAATTCATTGAGTGGAAGCCAATCAATTTAGTAAAAGTAATTTTTTGTTTCAATTTACCATGAAATTTATTACATTGAAATTTTTATTTGTGGTTAATATAATTACGCAATCGTTCTCACGTTCGAGCTGTACATATAAAGCCACTGCTAAATGAATCTCAATAATTATATTTTGAGTTATTGGCAGAAAATTATCGCTTAAATTCATGAAGAAATAAAATTTACAGAAAAATAACGGGAGAATTCTATAAACTGGGAGCAAAGCGCCATTTTGTAAAAAATTACGGAACTGTTGGCCTGAATTTTTCCTTCAGCTTGACGTAATTTCTTACGCAATGGCACAGAGAAATTACGGACAATCACAGAAAAATTGAGATATATTCCATAATTTTTATCGAATCGACACTTCGGCCCGCATTTACGGAGCTGTCACTTCATTTTTCGTATTTTTTTCCTCCGTATACATACGTACAGTAACAAAACATATTTGAACGACCACCATTAAGTATTCTGACCGAAATCGGTACTAATTTTTGATTCGGCAATGCTTTTATGCTTTCCTGTGAAAGCAAAAATTATTAAAAATTTCTAAATCCGATTTTTCTACCCAAAAATCTATACAAAAACCTCTACACTATTTTTGCTCTCATCATCTATATAATATAATTGAATAAATATTTTATTAAAGCAAATACATTGATGCACTCGCATAAATTTTTATCAATGAAATCTTGATGAATTGAATGATGAAGAAAAATCTAAAAATTCTCCTTAATTTCATTAAGATTGTTAGCGGTGTAGTAATGTCCTCGTTCTTAGATTACAGTAAAGATGAAACAAAAACGTGGTTAACAAAACGCCTCGTTGATATATGCTTAGTGTGCATTGAGCGATCAAAATATAGCGAGAATTTACGAATTGGATAATCAGCAGCATCCTCATTAACTATCCCCCCACTGTTACATGCCCGCCCCCGTACTTCTCTTCCTACTCTCTTCACAATCTGTCTCTCTCTGTACATCAACTATTTATATTATCAACGCACTCTAACGACTTTAATGCCTTCAACATGCAACTACTCAACTAAAGATTTTCCGCTTCGTTGTTACATTCATTTTTAGCGTGAGCAACATAGAGCATAGAGTATAACGGAACATTTTTTCATTAAAATTCATAATTATAATCATGGAAAAACGATCGGAATAGTGGAAGGAACTGGTCTTTCTGTTTTCGTGATGGAAATGTTATATTGAACTTCCAGAACGGGAAGGTGCTCACCAAAATTAATAAAATTCTAAAACATTTTGGCCATTTATTTATTATTAAAAGGATGGATTTTTTAATGATTCACTGCGGATTAATAATTACGTTAAAATAAGTAAAAGAAGATTTTACTTTTTCTAATATCGAACATAGTACGGCTAAAATTCATTGAGTCTGTATTCATTATTTATAAAATGTCAGCGAAAATAGGAGTATTTTCCACCTCATAATTGTCAAAAAATAAATGTACTCGCACAATTTCCATGTAAAATGAGTTGGCTCTACATTTAAAAACACCAATGAACAACATAATAGCTTTTAATCATTGATTTTTTCAATGTTTCAATTTAATTCGACTATAACATTGACGCAATCACCTACGCCATATTAAATTTCAATCTTTTAAAACTTTATTATCAGCATCTTGCAAATGATGAGATGAAAACGAGCAAAGCGTGTAAACTGTACAAATACATTCACTTTTAAATAGATTGTTTTTCGTGAGAGGTGAAGCTCCCATATCAGCTTACAATAGTGTGAGACACACCCGTTTTTTTAAATTTTACTTTACTTTGTTAGTACTTAATGATTGATCGAGCAAAACGGAAGTTAAAAAATCAATATTATTTCTTTATACTTTCAACCGTGGAATAAAATTTTTTCCCGCTTCATTATGTTTCGTTTCTATAAGAAAAACATAATTAAAAATATGTTTGACTATATACGAACCACGAACAAAAATGGCCAAACATTACTATGTCACTTGAGAAATAGTCATTGTATTTACATTTAACCATCTGTTTATTCAATCAAGCCAGCATCTGTATAAAATTATTATAATTGAATTAATATGAGTCATCATTTTTCAAATCTCACGCAACAATAAAGAAAAATTCTTAAAAACATTATTCTGTAATTGAAGAAGTAATGGCGCGATCACAGAATCTATGGTCAAGTTCTTTTTAAACGATGAATTAACTATGTATTTATAAAAAAAAATTAATGAAATTGAAATTGAATTTATGTGAATGCCCACCGTCAGCTTTTTACACGGAGAGAAAAGTCAAATAAAATTTATTCTCAAAATATCTTGAACATAATAATTCGTAGAATTTCTGTTATAGATTTGATAGTTTCTAGAAAATTTTTGTAGTGATAAAGCCAAAAACTTACTGAACATTTCGGATTTTTCTCTTAATTTTTCTTTAAGAATTAGTTAGGCTTCTGCCTAGAAAGAGAATGGTAAATTTGGAATTTGAGGAAGAGGATTGGAGTGGGAAGAAAAAAAGGAAAAGTGTCGTTTATAGTGTACGGTGGAATTGGCCCCTGTGCCTGTAAGCATGACCAGGAGTCGAGAGTAACATCCGGTGGCGTATGCCTGGTGTTCTGGCAAGTATCCTCATGTACTGCCAGTGTCAATGCTTCTAATGTTTATCCCTCGGAAGCTCCTCAAAATCTCCAGCCATTAACCCCTTTATTCAACCTCATCGACTTCTCAGAATGAAAAATTACCATTTTTTGCCCTGATTATCTGTTCCTTCATTCTTTATGGACAGGAGGATGGCCACATCCGTTCGGCTATTTTTTTCCCACCAATATAATGTGACGAAATCGATCCTCCCTCTCAATGTCTGGTGAATCAAGAATGGAAAGAAAAACACGTCAATGTACAATTATTGCAACCAAATTCAGTGCTTTCATTTATGTATCTACCGTGTATATCCAACGGTTTCTTGAAAAAATACCACCGGAAGGTATCAATCAGGAGATTGTATTTCAGTTTCGATTCATGAAGCTTTAATTCATGAAAATTCTATTCCATTTTTGGCTCTTCAACTACGAATTAAGTTCATTTTTCTCGCCATCCTCTGATTGCCAATTGGATTTTTTCTCAGAACTTTTGATTTTATTTATTGTTTTGGCGATAATCAAATGAATTGCAAGTTGAAACAGTGAAAAGTGAGATTTAATTGAAATATTATGATGAATACTTAGAACAGTTATCAAATGATCTTTTATTAGTGTTTTAGATATATATGAAAAAAGAGATTTCCTCCGAAATCACGGAATAAACCATAAAAATCTTCGTCTCTCAATTTATATATACCGATGTGATTAATGAAAGATAATAAATCCTCGTTTTATTATTATAAACACCGTAAATTCCCGCTGAACGGGTTGAATGTACGGCGGGCATAAAGTAGGAGAGAATAGCGTGAAAATTTTATTTTTAACGCTTTTGCTCACATGTCTTTCGTGAAATGTGGCATTTGAATTTTCCTATTGGACGTACCGTATGCCTGAATAATTCACCACTCTTGCTTTTCCGCATTAGAAACAAATCCTTCGCCAAGTATCTGTTTTGTGTATCTATGATGAATCGCTGTCATTGTTACACGATCCTGAAAATCAATATATGGGGGGAATGATTGATTCCAAAGACGATAGGGGGACAAGAATGTTTTATGGAGATGTTTGTATCCATTGTTCGTTGAATAGTGGCTCACATAATGTTGCTATTATTTTGTGCGATTTCTTTTTATATTTTGTTGGAGAAATAGAAAACGTGGAAAAGGTATCGCAGAATAACGCTTTTTTTTAGTCGATTTTTTTTTTTCGTTCACTTGTTGTAAACATTCATAAATATTCATCAGTTTTTTTCATTTTTTCAATTTTTATTTTGCTTAAAATTACTTTTAGTTTTTGAATGGAAACATTCTAATCGTACAAATTTAAGTTTTTCTTTTTTGTAACCAGGCTAACTAAATATGATGAGCATTTTATGAATTTTATTATGAGTATATACACTTCGATAAACTCTACTTGTCAACAGCAATTAAAATGAAATTTACCATAAATTCTGTGAATAATTAACACTCTGTTGAAAAATCAATATTCCACCAAATTGTCAAAAAGCTGTCATTGCAAGAGATTTAAAAAATGGCTTATGTTTATAATAAATTTAACCCTTGACCCCATTGGTTAATCAAAACGATGGTTATAATAGCATTACAATTCATTAGCTGACATAATCCTAGATGAAAAAAAATATCTAGCAAATCCTTATATATTTATCAATGGTCTCTGTTCAATCTCAAAATAGCC